GCTTATAAGCTCAGGGCTACCTCAAAACTTGTGGGGGGAAGCTATACTTTCAGCAAATCATATTCTTAATAAGATTCCCCATAAAACAATGAATATCACTCCATATGAGTTATGGAAAGGACGAAAACCATCTTATAAATACCTCAAAGTGTGGGGGTGTTTGGCTAAAGTAGAAATACCTAAGCCTAAACAAGTTAGGATTGGACCTAAAACTGTCGACTGTATCTTTATTGGATACGCACAAAACAGTAGTGCTTATCGCTTTTTGGTACATAAATCTGAAATTTCGGATCTAACTGAAGGAATGACGATTGAGTCCAGGAATGCAGTATTCTTTGAAGATATTTTTCCGGCAAGACGAAAAGAAATAGGTTCTAACAAAAGAACATACAAAACTGCAATTGAGACATCTGAGCAAGATGAACCAAGACGCAGTAAAAGGACAAAAGTGAAAAAGTCTTTTGGTCCTGATTTTCTATCATATATGATAGAAAATGAACCGAGAACTTTGCAAGAGGCATTCTCAAGTCCAGAAGCTCCATTCTGGAAAGAAGCTGTAAACAGCGAAATTGAGTCCATCATGCATAATCATACTTGGGAGTTGGTTGATCTCCCACCTGGATGTAAACCTCTAGGATGTAAATGGGTGCTAAAAAGAAAATATAAAGCAGATGGATCAATTGATAAATACAAGGCTAGACTAGTAGCTAAAGGGTATAAACAGGTCGAAGGACACGATTTCTTCGACACTTATTCTCCAGTAACTCGAATTACGTCCATAAGAGTATTAATTGCTATAGCAGCGCTATACAATTTGGAAATACATCAAATGGATGTAAAAACAGCCTTTTTGAATGGCGAATTGGAAGAAGAAATTTACATGCAACAACCTGAAGGGTTTGTGGCTCCGGGAAAAGAAAGAAAAGTGTGCAAACTAGTTAAATCCCTTTACGGATTAAAACAAGCTCCTAAACAGTGGCATGCTAAATTTGACACAACAATGTTGTCAAATGGATTTAAAATCAACGAATGTGATAAATGCGTCTACATTAAAAATAATGCAAATGAATACGTCATTGTATGTTTATATGTGGACGATATGTTAATCTTGGGAAGTACTCATGATATAATCATGAATACAAAGAAGATGTTGAATAAACATTTTGACATGAAAGACATGGATCAAGCTGATGTTATTTTAGGAATAAAGATTTTAAAAGGACCAGAAGGAATTTTCTTATCACAATCTCACTATGTTGAGACTGTTCTTAAGAAATTCAATCAGTTTGATTGTGTTCCAGCTAGAACACCTGTTGACATTAGTTGTCATCTAGGTAAAAATCGAGGAGATCCAGTTTCTCAAGTGGAATATGCAAGGATCATTGGTAGTTTGATGTATCTAACTAATTGTACTAGACCTGATATTGCATATGCAGTGAACTACTTGAGTAGATTCACAAGTAATCCAAACGAAGATCACTGGAAAGCTTTGATAAGGGTACTTAGATACTTAAAGTATACCCGAAATTATGGTTTGTGTTATTCTAGATATCCAGCTGTGTTAGAAGGTTACAGTGATGCGAATTGGATATCAGATACTAATGACTCAAAAGCCACTAGTGGTTATGTGTTTACCATCGGTGGAGGAGCAATCTCCTGGAAATCTTCTAGGCAAACGTGTATAGCTCGATCTACAATGGAGTCCGAGTTTATAGCCTTAGATAAGGCTGGAGAAGAAGCTGAATGGCTTCGTAACTTTCTAGAAGATATTCCGTGTTGGAACAAACCCGTGCCTGCTGTTATGATACATTGCGATAGTACGTCAGCAATTGGTAGGGCACAAAATAGTATATACAATGGTAAATCTCGACATATACGTCGTAGACATAATACCATCCGACAATTGATCTCAAATGGTGTAATAACCATAGATTATGTTAAGTCTAAGGAAAACTTAGCAGATCCGTTAACGAAAGGCCTTAATCGAGATCAATTGTACAAGTTATCGAGAGGAATGGGATTAAAATCCACGAATTAAAAGAATGACCATAGCGGTAACCCAACCTTGTTGACTGGAGATCCCAAGATCTTGGTTCAATGGGAAAACCAAGTTATGGAAGTTCAGTTGAACACTTGGAACTTATTTCCATCTCATTCCTAAAGCGATAATCCAAGTGTAAGGAAAATCTGCGTATCGTGGTGAGGTTGAATTCCATATTGAATTCTTAATGATTCCTACACCTTAAATAAGGTAGAGTATAGCAGAATACTTTCGACATAAAGTTCGGTAGGTAAGATCACCTATATAAGTGAGGAGTTATGATGGCCGCTCCTATAAGAAAAAAAAAAAACACTTATGAATCCAAGATATGGTCCATGGCCGAAACGGACAACAACATGAGAACAAAAACGAAAGTTAGAAATATTATTGTGTGAATACTGGTTGTCTTGGTATATGTTATACAACTGAGGGTTCAAGGCATCACGTCCACCAACTAGTTAGTATGCCCGACAGTATTTCACTAAGGAAGGTTCAAGGCAAAAAACTACCATCCCGATGCAATAATAATTCATCGGAACTCTTTGGAATAAACAATTTTTATGCATTCATTAATTTTCATTCATGTGGGAGATTGTTAGAAAATTTGGGCAAATGTTATTAATTTCTTAAAACCAATTTGTGGTGAATGAGAAATTAATTTATACAAAATAAATGTAAAAATGTGGAAAAAGAACATTTGTCCCACATTAGAAAAATGACAAAGCACAAGGAAGGAAGCTTCCTTATATGTGTGTTTGTCCCACATCTAAAGTTTTGGCCAAGAGGAAGGAAGAAGCTTCCTTATAAAAAGAGCTCCCCTTGAGTCAACAATGTTCAAGCTCAAGATTGACTAAAGCTACAAATGCTTGGTCCCACTTCTTCCTCTTTGGGAGAAAATGAGCAATGTTCCCTGAGCGGAACGTTTAAAATTTGAATTGAAAGTTCCACTCGGGACTTTTCGATTCAGTTAAAAACGTTTCGATGTGGGATTTAAAATTTAAAGTTGCGCGTCGATGTGGGACGGTTGGGCTTCGAACCAATGCGTTCTTGACGAAACGTTTCCTTTTGGAACGATTTAGATAGAACCGCTGGTTGAAAGGGTGGAGCCTCTTCCTTCCCATGTTTTCGTAGCAACCCCCGAATATTATAAATAGGGCGCCCATAGGATCATTTTCAGCATCCCATTTTTTCTGAGTGCATTCTTCCTTTCAGAAAGAAATAATCTCAAACCTTTTCTCTAAAGAGTTCTGAACTTTTGTAGTTCGTTGGATTCTCTAAAGCAGGTGGTGCTTTTGTAGAATCGTAAGTCGTTGTATCTTGGAGACGATTGCCGTAAACCGTAACCACTTGATAACGGGGCAATTTCGTCTTGAGGAGATTGTGTCTAACACAAGCCTCGACTTAACCCACTTCAAAAAAATTTCTTTTCTTTTGGAAATTCTGTCTGAATTTCTGAATCCCACATCTGCGGGATCAACACAATCTAACAATAATAAGTTAATAACTTAATGTGGGTTGGGTTTAACTTATAAAATCAAATTAACCTATTTAATTTAATTAGTTAATAATTAATTTATATTATTTATATAATATATATATATATATATATATATATATATGAAAAAAAATTGAATATAAAATAATAAAATTAAATCCGTTGGAATATTCATTTTACTAATAAAAATTAAATATTTTAAAACTAAAAAATATAATATAGAATTTAAAAAATTTTAAAACATTGATGAGAAAATATTAAAATTAGATATAGAGATCTCATTTTCTATACTTGCAAATTCTAATTTTTTATACCTTTTCAAAATAGTTTTCTATTCACAAAAAAATATATAAATGTTTGAACTGGATCGAATCCGGACGAAGTCGAATCTGAATTCTAACCAAACCAAACTGAATTCAAATTCAAATTCACAGCGAATCCAAACCAATAAAATTCCAATCGAACCAAATCGAATTCGAAATCATAACGAAATGAACCAAATCGAATCAAACCAAGTCTGAATTCGAATGAGTCCGAGTAATAAATAAAAAAAACCAGAACTGTTTTTAAAAAAATGAGTTTTTAAGAATTCGAATCGAATCCGAACCGAACAAATAGAGTAATTCATACCGATTGGATTCAATTTGGATTTGGCTATTTCATATTTTTTAGAAATCATAAACAAATGATTATTAAATTTTAATCAATTTAGTTCGATTCGATTTGGAGTTCCGTTATTTTAGATTCTACGAATTCATTATCAATTGTTAATTCGGTCCGATTTAGTTAATAAAAAATAATTGAATTGAATGTTCATCTCTAATTATAACAAAGAATAAAGAATAAAATATTTTAATGGGTTATTTGGTTTAATTGGATTAATTCATTTAACCCGTAAAATATGTTTAATCCAAAAGAATAATCCAAATACAAATATAATTGGGTTGACTCGGGTTAACCCATCTAATCCAATCCAATTCCAATTTGATATATATAGACACACCATATAACAAATCCATTTGAAGTTTTGTAAGCTTAGGATAATTTGTGGCCGTTTGGAGTGAATCAATTAACCTAAACTCCACTAAACAAGGAAGACAAATCTACGTTAATTATGATTGTATTTTATTTAATATACTTATTATTTATACTGATAATTGCTCAAACAAAAACATTCCTCATCTCCTTTGCTCAAAAACAAAATTTCTATTACATTCTTTACAAGATAGAAATGTTAACAAACAATCCATAAAACAAGTTTTTTTTTTTCAAATCTTCCATCAAATTCAATCAATTTTTCGAATAATTAATATGATACTCATCGAATAATTTAAGTATTATTTTAGATAATTTTAAAAGTTTGGTGTTTTCTTTAGGTTTAATTTTGTCAAAGTTAAAAGTTGTGTTTTTTTCCCAATATTTGATAAATTAATTAATCTATAATTTACTCGAACCCCCTTGCTCAAAAAACCACGTCTGTGGAGATTGCATTTCATTCCTCCAGCACGATTTCCCCACACGACATCTTCTCCTTCACCGTCTCCGGCCATCGGTGAGCTGTGGCTTTTCCCTCTCCTCGTCTTCTTCGAAGATCTCGCTTTTTCTTCACCGGGTTCGCCGAATTCGATCCCTTCTTCGAGTCTTAACGTTCCCTTTTCGTGTGATTGGGCGCCTCTGATCTCGATTCTAGCTTCTGAGCGGCTCCACCAGATCGACCCACGAGGAACACGGACGAAGTGATATTGAATTTGGACCTGCAGATCATCACGAAGAAGCTTCGGGTTCTCAATCTAAACATCTGCGGAATCGGAGCCTGGAGACGGTACTAGATCATCGTCTTCCCCATTTCATCCTTTTCCGCTTCTGTGAATATTTTGTGGCAGAATTCAAGCGTCTTTGTTTATAAGGATAGATTACGAGTTTCTAGCTCTTACAATGGAGAACGATGATTTTTGGGGTTACACTTATGCAAATGGAGATGAATCATTGGCATGTTACTCATGTCAACATATATCCAATGATGAATGCCTAAATGTTCTTGGACACAAAGATGGCTAATTTACTAAGGTTTCGAACAGACACCTTGTTTGTAAAATTACACATACATTTTCCTACATGTTAGCTGCCTTGTGATGTTTGGTCTTATTTACAGTTGAATTCTCCCCCGGCTTGTTTTTTCCACGGGGAGGGACACTAGTTACTGCCTGTGACGGTTTGGTTGATGTCTTTTTATTGGTGCTTTGCTACAGCGATGGAGGTCAAACCTAAAAGGAGGACTGTTACTGAGAATGGAGAGACAGGAGAAGATTTAGTTCTTGCAACCATGATTGGAAATGGCGATGACATAGGCCCTCTTGTTAGGCATGCTTTTGAGATGGGGCGGCCTGAGCCTCTTGTTCACCAGCTCAAACATGTTGTGAGAAAGAAGGAAGTTGAAATCGAGGAGCTTTGCAAGACCCACTACGAGGAATTCATTGTTGCAGTCGATGAGCTCCGTGGTGTGCTAGTTGATGCCGAAGAGCTTAAAAGTGACCTTGCAAGTGATAACTTTCGGCTGCAGGAAGTGGGCAGTGGTTTGTTGGTCAAATTGGAAGAGCTTCTCGAATCTTATGCCATCAAGAAGAATGTAACTGTAGCTCTCAAAATGTCAAAGATCTGTGTTCAAGCTCTGGATCTGTGCCTTAAGTGTAACAATTACGTGTCCGAAGGCCAGTTTTACGCTGCACTAAAGACCCTTGATCTGATTGAGAGGAACTACCTTCAGATTATCCCGGTTAAGATTCTGAAGTTGGTAATAGAGAAGAGAATCCCAGTGATCAAGTCACATATCGAGAAGAAGGCCTGCAGCCAATTTAACGAATGGTTGGTTCACATTAGAAGTTCTGCCAAGGATATTGGTCAGACTGCTATTGGCCTCACCTCTTCAGCTCGCCAGAGGGAAGAAGAAATGCTGGAACGTCAGAGAAAAGCCGAGGAACAAAACATGGTGGGGTTTGGAGAGTTAGCATACACTTTAGATGTCGAAGATTCGGAACAAGATTCTGTATTGAAGTTTGATCTGACGCCTCTTTATCGAGCATATCACATCCACACTGTACTAGGAATCCCGGAGCGATTCCGTGACTACTACTATAAGAATCGGCAATTGCAGCTAAACTCAGATCTGCAAATTTCTGCAGCTCAGCCATTTGTGGAATCATATCAAACATACCTAGCACAGATTGCAGGCTATTTTATCGTGGAAGACCGGGTGGTTAGGACAGCAGGTGGGTTCTTGTCTTCTGACCAACTTGACACTATGTGGGAAACAGCTGTTTCGAAAATTGTATCAGTGTTGGAGGACCAGTTTTGCGGCATGGATTCACCAACACATCTACTTTTGGTGAAAGATTATGTCACTCTCCTTAGTACAACCCTTAGACAGTATGGTTATGAAGTGGGTCCTATTCTTGATGCCCTTGACAAAAGCCGAGACAAATACCACGAGCTTCTTCTCGAAGAATGTAGGCAGCAGATCGTTACCGCTATCTCGAATGACACTTATCAGCAAATGGTAATAAAGAAGGAAGCAGACTACGAAAACAATGTCTTGTCATTTGATCTTCAGACATCGGATATAATGCCGGCTTTCACATACATTGCACCATTCTCCTCTATGGTACCCGATGTTTGCCGCATCATAAGATCATTTGTCAAGGGATCTGTTGATTACTTGTCCTACGGGTTACACACCAACTTCTTCAATGTTGTGAAGAAGTATCTAGACAAGATCTTAATCGACGTCTTGAATGAAGTTATACTCGACACTGTTAGTAACAATGCGATTGGTGTATCTCAAGCTATGCAGATTGCAGCAAATATAGCTTTCCTCGAAAAGGGTTGCGATTATTTTCTCCGGCATGCAGCTCAACTATGCGGGATCCCAAGCAGATCTGTTGCAAAGCCTCGAGCCAGTTTGGCAGCCAAGGTGGTCCTGAAAACATCGAGAGATGCAGCATATCTCGCTTTATTGAATGTTGTCAACACCAAACTGGATGAGTTCATGAGCCTTACGGAAAACGTCAACTGGACAACTGAGGAAATCCCACAGGGTCCACACGAATACATGAACGAGGTTATTATTTACCTCGAGACCGTAATGTCAACGGCACAACAAATCCTTCCAATGGATGCTTTATACAAAGTTGGAGTCGGGGCTCTTGAGCATATATCCAACTCCATTGTTTCGGCATTTCTCAGCGACAGTGTCAAGAGATTCAATGCTAACGCAGTCTCGGCTATCAACTATGACCTGAAAGTGGTAGAAACCTTTGCGGATGAGCGGTACCACTCAACCGAGCTGAGCGAGATCTACAAGGACGGGAGCTTTAGAAGCTATCTGATTGAAGCTAGGCAACTGGTGAATCTGTTGTCGAGCAGCCAGCCCGAGAATTTCATGAACCCCGTGATTAGGGAGAGGAACTACAACACGCTGGATTACAAGAAGGTGGCTACGATCTGTGAGAAGTTCAAGGACTCTCCTGATGGGATTTTCGGTAGCCTTTCGAGCAGAAACACGAAGCAGACTGGCCGAAAAAAATCGATGGACATTCTCAAGAAGCGGCTCAAGGACTTCAACTGATGCTTCCAACTCTAGGACTGACATTTCCCCTCGTCTTAAGCTTTTGCGTTCCCTGATTTGATTTCCGCTGTTTCTGTTTGATCTTCCGTTCATTGCCTTCGTTTCCGTTCTTTTCCTTCTTCTTCGTGGATCAGAAGCCCGACTTGTGTCCTTTGCCCATTTCATTACATGTTATAAATGACTAAACTTGTGATGCTAGAAGAGAAGAATGGCTGATGATGATCTCAATTGATTGTCTTGAAATGTGAATGGATTTGTAAACTCTTCTTTTTGTGATTACGTAGACAGGCATATGATAATGGGTCGACACAACTATTTCAATAGTACAGAAATCCGCCCGAAACTATGATCAAGAAAATTTGTTTTTTAACTGCATAGAGGACCACATCAACATCGCCTTAATCCCAATTTTATTTGGGGTCGGCCGGATGAATTCTTCGTTTTCACTCATTTCGATTTGAAGTTAAATCTTATGAAATTCGTAATAATTTCAAATCATTCTTAATTAGTGTACCCTTCCCTATTATCTCCACCTCGTTCCTTTATTATCCACTTTTCTAACCGCAACATCTACACCCCTCCATTGTATATATCCAAACCATCTTACATGCAATGAATTCAACTGCATAAAGGGCCATCCAAGGAAAAAAAAACAGATCTAGAAATCCACCTTCGACGAACTTTGCCAATATGGGTCTATCAACTTATAGATAGTATCATTAGCAGCTGACCACAAAACTGAGAGTAATGCATCATATTGAAAATTCCAACCAATTCAGAAAGCAATCTGAACCGATTTCTAACCGTGACAAAGTTTGCTTCACGATTTACCCTAAACAAACTGATGGGCCAACAAAATCGGGATTACAAACTCGAAAAAAACATGCTTTCGAAGACCACTCTACCACATATCTTGCTAGTCTACCGAGTTGGGATGGACCTGCTCTAATTGCTGGTTCCACACTGTTTACATTGAGTTCCAGTGGATGATAATTTAAGGGTTTTGGTCACTCAATTGTCCGTTAGCACAACAAATGCAATGAAACTCTGAAACTCAAAGACTGGTAATAAAAATAAAAAAAAACCAACATGTCTTCGAACTACGACGATATCAAAAATCGTATAATCTCACAATGCTACAAGAACTATAAAACCCCAAGCGAAATCCGTACCAGTCTACAACTTGCCGAATCTTGGGAGCAAACCCAAGAGATAAATAAACCAGGAGAACCCAATTCTGCAACACGAATCAAAACCCACTGACAATCCAAATGACGCAAGAGGAATAGGAAAGCGAAGATTACCTCCGCTTCGGTGACAGTCTCGAGCAGTCTCCGCCAAACGAGACACGTCCCGTGGCTGAAGAACAGAGGAACTCGCAGTGGTAGCCGCCGACGAGAGATTCCGAGCAATTTGGCGGGTTTTTCTAACGTGCCTTGGGAGAGAAAAGGTCGACGAGGAAGAAGAGCTGAAACCTAAGGTATGGATCGCGCGCGAGAAGACGAAACACTGGCTCGGTGCTGCTGCATATTTGATCACAAGCAAAGCTCTTGTTTCCATGGCGAAAAAACTATCATTCGATTTAGGGCGGGTAAACTTGACAAATACCCGCATCAATTTTTGATATACCTTACTATAAAGATTTAATTAAAGTCGAGTCAAAACCCTTAATGAAAAAGGTGTGTCAACATAAAACATGTGTAAAATAACTGAGGAAGATGATGATGATTATGAAGTATAATAGGGCGTAACGGAAGACGAAAGAAGAGATATCCAAAAAACCAAAAAATAATAAAAATAAAAACAAAATAATATAATAAAAACAAAATAATAAAAATATTATATTTTAACAAAAAAATACAAATCAATGTGTAAAAAAAATAGAAACAAAGTTTATTTTTTCTGACATATTGAAAAAAAAAGTGAATATAATAACAAAATAAAAAAAAATAGATTTGGTTATTATAAAACAAAACAAGTTATTTTATGGCTTGGTTACGATTTTTACGTGGGTACTATGCAATTATCTTAATGCTTAATTACAACTTTTGAATTTTATAAAAATGTAAAAAAATCGTTAATTTTAACAACATTTCGTCGGTAGATGATAAATATCTTCTAATTAACTAAGAAATGTGATTTACAAAACATTTTGTTTCAAAACTATAATATCTTTAAGTTATTGTTCAAATAACAAGTAAATGTGTGTTATACATTTACTTATGCTAAAAAATAAACTTAACAAAATGTGATAAATATTTAATATTGGATTTGTGATCAAATATTTTTATGTTTTTGAAATTATTCATCGTCTCTCAATGAAATCTCATCAAATTAACGAATTTTTTTTACACTTTCATGAAAATTAAAAAGTCGTAAAAATAAGTTAAGATAATTGTATCGTAGTCACATTAGAGTCGTACACAAATCTCAAAAAAGTTATTTTGTATTATAATAAGACAAACGCCGTATTTTTTGTTATTATCTATATACATGTGTGATATGTCACGTTGAGATAAAGTAGTTGAAAATAAAAATTAATATGTTAGAAAAAGAATAAAATGATTATAAGATAAAAAAAACCTTTTTATAATTAGTTTATGACTTTAAAATGATTATTTTACAATTAAATAAAGACTTATTTATGATTTTATATTTTTGTAAAATGTAAAAAAATATTTATTTTTAATTAGATTTCGTCGGAAATGATGAATATTTTTTAATTAATTAAAAAACATAATCTAAAAAAAATATTTTGTTTTAAAATTATAATTTTGCAAGTTATGATTCAAAAAACATTTAAAAATATGTAAATGTATATTATAAATTTAGTTATATTTAAATACAAATTCAAAATATATGACAAATGTTTAACATCGGATTAGTGATGAAAGATTTTTATGTTTTCGAAGATATTCATCACATTTCGATTAAATCTCGTCAAAATTAACTATTTTTTACGTTTTCAAAAAAAATATAAAGTCGTAAATAAATTTTAGATTAGTCAAAAAATAATCGCTTTAAATTCGTAAACAAGTTACAAAAAAAATATTTTGTTCTATAATAAAAAATGTCGATCTTATTTCAATGTATCAAAAAATATATTTTATTGTATTTAATTTGTTTTAATATAATTTTAATATAATTTTTTGTACGTGCTTTTATTTGGAAAAGAAGAATAAGTTAGTCTGTATGACCGAACCATACTGGTTCTGAGTCGAAAAAATAAGTTATTTTTTTTATTCGATCCGTCTAAAATTTCTAAATGATATTGATTTTTTAAAAAAAAAATCGAATTTTCTAAAATCGAATTGAAATGAATCCAAATTTAAAAAAAATCCGAAAACCCAAATTTAAAAAAAAATTAATTTTTTAATAAAAACCAAAAAAAAAACTTAATCGAACCAAATATAATATAATAACCAATTAGTACCAATTTTTATAAAAAACGAAAGAATTAAACCAAACTATTCTCAACTCAAACTCGAATCGAATACCAAAATACCCGCTTCTGAGTGGGTTGGAAACTTGGAAAAATTGTCAAATTTAGGAAAACACCTTGAAAAAAAAAAAGATTCCTCCAAGATATGGTTAAGGATGACGCAAGTGCTTCGTATTAGAATAACACTACATTTAAAATATAATTAAAATAAATAAAGATAATAACGATCATTTTAGTTTAATTCAAACGACTATTACATTTCCAAAATGATAATAGAAATATATTTATACGAAAATATTGTTGGGTGAAAATATCGTTTTGTAAACGTTGTTTGGGGTGTGGCCATTTTATGCCGTAAAAAGGTGAAATAAATCAACAGAAAATTGAGGAATTGATAATTTTTCATGACATCATATGATTAGAACAAAAGAAATGTGAGAATTTAAACTTATAATGATTAAAACTATGACATGTTACGAACGCATTCTCTAATTCTTTTCCGTGAACAAAAGCTACAAAAACAAAAAAAAAAGGATAAAAAGTGAGGGTAAAGCTTAAGGATCAGTAGCATTTCTCTTCTCTGAAGCCACACTGTTGCAATGCTGAAGCTGAGGAGCCACTGAGAGGCTCCTTTGGATCTCCATGGACGATGATGAAGCCGGATGGTTTGTGCCACCAATACCCTCTTCCCCCACCCCTGCCGCTTGCACGCTCTTTGCGGGGGATGGCTCGGGTGGTTCACAGCTTCCACCGTGATGGCTTGTTCCTTCTCTCGGAGTACCTGTGTTCATGCACCATCATCATCCATGAACAAAAAGGCGTTATTGAGTTTCAGGAAGACGGCACTTTCAAAGAACTACAATTTTTCCGAGAAACTAGAAACCACCGTTGGATAATGGCTCAACCAGCCAAAAGATATATCACATCGGCTGTTGAAGGAGCCCACCTGAAACCCTAAATCCTAAACCTCTATATACTAAAACCTACACCATAAATCATCACAGCTGTCGAAGGAGCAAACCCTAACCCTTAACCCTATACTAGGTCCAAAGTAAGAACCTTAACAAAACTAACAAAAAAAACAGCAGGGAAGAGGAAAATTTTCCAGATAGAGCACGATAAATTTACCCGTATTAGCAGATGGAATTGCTGATGAAGCTGCAGCTCCTCTCTTCATCTTTGGCTGTGATTTTTCACAAACCCGTTCAAGCATTTTATTAGCCAAATTCAACTAATTATGCAAGAGATGGAAAAACAAAACAAAAAACAAAGTGCAGGATGGTTTTGGCCCACACCTTGGCATTTTCTTCCATATATTTCACGGCCTGAGAGATGCTTGGACAATGGCCATGGAACAGTGTGTAAGCCCAGAGAAGAAGCTTCCTTGGGATGCTTACATCGACAACTTCCACTCCTTCCATGCCTGGAAGTATTTGTCCTCCAGTTACTAAATGAGGTGGTACCAAATAGAGGTTGACACCAGAAGGAAGCGTCATCACGGAGGTTTCCCGGAAGAAATTGTAACAACTTCTAAGTAAAGAATTGGCAATGTCCATATTCTCGTCTGAAGCTTTCTTGGAGATTATTATGTTCTTGATCTTGGACAAAAGTGGGCGCCATTTTGACTCGAGCATTAGTGACTGTGTGGAATCCTCAAATGAACAACTCCACAATTCTTCTGGCTGAATGTCTACACAAAGTATCCGTCTATTTTCCAGAAAACCATATGATGGGTTTATTGCTTGAGTTTCTGCTGGGGATATGTGCTGTAAGGGAGAGATCGAAGCCAAGCTTATTATCAGGGATCGGCACCAAGCAAGAGAAGCATGCCTTCCAACTTTAGCAGAGCTGCTATGTGACAACTTTGGGTTCTTGAAACGCTTTCGGAACTTTTCATTTATTGTTTCCAGGGTCTCAACCTTGTTATTTAGCACAAGAGATACAATATATCGGTGGAGATATCTGCCAAAGGGTGATTGTCTATCAGGAAGTGAAAAGCAAATGAGCAACCTTAAATAAATATAATTCATGGGTCAAAAACAGGCCGATTACCCGTTTAAGCTGCTCTCGGACATTTCCGGACCTCTTGTTTCAGGCAAATTGCAAATCTCTGGCCATATGCTTCCTTGTTCTAGAAACAATGAAAATATCTTCTCCAACTGACTGTCAGGGTGGGATTTGGATCCAGCAGACTCACCTTGACTCATCGAGGAAACCAGTGTATTGATGTATCTTCCTATCGCAACTGGTACAAGATCTTCAATGCATAACGAGAACTGAGTTCAAATTTGTAAGGATTACATTAGCAAATAGCAAAGAAACTGATGACAAATAAATGCAACTCATGATGACATAAGCGCCTAAAAAGAATAAAACATTGGGATTAGGAACATTAACAAATCGCCGGTCTGCTCTCTTGATGTACTACGTATCGAAGAAGGCTGATACACAATTGAAATGATATGATTTTACCTGATGGTGCAAAATTTCATTCCATATGCACAATTGACCAGGCTTTGGATTTTCACCACCAATATCATTTAGTAGATCTAACGATTTAAATCATTTCACCTCATGATACAAAATTCCACTTCTTAGACAAAGTTGTGTACTAAGGGGAAATTCCTCACCCTCTTATCCGATCGAAGAGAATTGTACGCACGCTCTAATGTGCTGATGTCTCCAGTTTCTTCCAGTAGTTTCAAATAGAACAATAAGTACTTGCGGATGCAAGTAATGAATTTCCGTGAGCTTTCTGGGAGGTTAACTTCAAGAGCCTTCTTGTTCCCCGCCAAACCCAGAGTTTTGCGCCTGACAGGTAGTAGAAGGAAAACATGTTACATGAAACAATTTTCAACAATCCTAAATCTGTTTGGTTAGTCCTGAGTAAGAGGATCAATCTTCCTAATCCCTAAAACCCGCACCACCTAAGAAAGCACACGTAGATTGATGTTTGTAAATATTCATGGCAGGATTAGTAACTACCAAATCCAGTTTAACCTTACTAAATTTTTGAAGATCGTTATAGTCTTCAAAGGGTAGATATCAGCATTGTTCCAAAAAAATCTTTCCGCTTTACCATTACTTTACTTTAAAACCCTACAGAAAAGTAAGAATGTGAGCCCACCTTCCTTTTTTCACCATGCCATCAATCTCCCACATGTTGATGGTAAAACTTGAACGAGATGACTTGAAACAAAAAGAAAGCTCTTCTTTTGCTCTCTGCAGATCACTACTGCCTCCCCTTTTGTACAGCCCATGGGCAAGCATGTACCTTGCCTTGTGAAAATGTTTAAGATCCCCCTCTACGCAGATTCCTAAGGCAGAGAGGCTATCGTTGTAAAGCATATGCCACACCCCTTCCATCTGAATTGACCCCTCTCTTTTTTTAGCATTACTTGCTTCTAGGTTCCTATCTTGAGCTTCTTCCGACACATGAGAAGTACCAGAAGTCATTGTACCAATGATCGTCATTGCGGTATCCTTTATAGATCCATCAAAGCAATAAGAAGCGAGAACCTAAAAGATTGAAAAGAAAATAAACATCTCGTCCATTATGAACTACAAAAATAGAAGAGCAAACCAAATAATAGTGGATTTTTTTTTAAATGCAATTGAAGTTACACAAAGAACACTTTCTTTTCGAACTACCAAGCTGTAACTAAAAGGTCAACAAAGAGAATTAAAGATCCCTAACAAATGAGAAAGAGAGAGAGTGGAGGAGGGCCAGGAGACAACAAACCTTTAAGGCTTCTATGTTTTGTTTTCCACAAGCATTTAGAAGCTTCAGGCGAGAGGCATGCATTCTATACACAGGGTCCACCGCTGATGGATTCAAGGCCATAGCTTTGTCATACCATGATAATGAGACCTCATATGATTCACCAAGCTTTTCATTGAGTTTCCCCAAGTAGAATGCATGTGACCAATCTTGCCTGCAGATAACCATGTTAAAAAAGAGTGTAACTATGAATGAATATATCAAAGTAAACATCCTTCAATAAGACTGTACCTATGTGAAAAGGCTTTCTTGAAGTGTTTCATTGAGTTCTCACAAAATGTTGCCCAATTTGCATCCTTGGAGGGTAAAACAGACAGCTGGTCATAAAAGGGCACAACACTCTGAAGGCTGTCATAGTATACCAATGCCAGCAGCTCATGTATCTCAGCCTAGAACAGAAGAATGTTGCACAAATGTTAACAATCATGAATTGATATACTTGTAATAAAGTGTATGAATTATGAAAAAAGAATCCAATGCTCTCTCAACAATCCAGTCTCAATCAAAACCCTAGATTTATTCAGTCACTCCACTAACTTAAGCACCCGTTCTGTAATCTTAGATATTTATAATCAAACATATTACTTGTCTGTTTAGCTGGTCAATGCAATCTATATTAGATATCATCAAAAGACTGGTAGCTGATTTAAGCTACAGATGTATTGGCATGGCAAAGCATGAATATAAAACAAGGCTTCAGTCTGGAATAGATTCAAGTCTTCCCTCCCATGCTTATGCCCCATACTTTCCTCGGAGCTACTCCTGAGATCCATGGAGTATAATTCTATCCGATGACCAGTGGTAAAAGGTAACAGTTGTCACGTATACTTGACAATTTTAACCTTTTCCTCAAATTTGAATTATTTCAAGGGCTGTCAATTTCAGATTATATATAATTTTGACTTTTCATGTTTTATTTTTTCAAATTCTTTTCCTTTTATCCAGTACCATCTAAAGGCATGGTAATAAGGTGAAATCGCATCAAAATGAACAAGGGTGACAAATGAAACCTGCTGATCAGGTGTCTTTGCCAAGGCTAGACTCATTAACAAACAACGTCTGCTTCTTCTTCTACTTGTTTCAACCCTTTGGGACAGAGCAGCATTCTTCCTCCATGCTGTAACATTTATGTGCTTACTCCCGTCATTTAGCAACAAGTCTACTTCCTGCCTTAGTTAAAACCAAAAGACAAATGTAAGCAAAGATCAAGACACCAGAAGAATGAACTTTCTACTGAGTTAAAATAGCATCACAGAAGAGAACAAAAAAATAACTCGCCTCGTCATAAATATTGGCAAGCTTTTCCCAGCTCTCAAACCGTAGAGGGTTATAGAGTAGATCATATTTGATGAGAATTGCGTTCTGCTGGACAAATTCTTCTCCTTCTTTGGTGAGCACAAAACCAGGCCATTTATCGCTAGCACTTATTTCCTCTGACTGAGCTAAGAAATAATACAAGTTTCGGTAGACATCCATATATGAGCCAGAGCTGGAATCAAATCAATACAGCATTCTTGTCATTCCAGCATAACAAATACCAAAAAGTTCATTATCTATCCATTTAGTAGTAGCCCAAAATACACCTTTTGAATTTCCCTATTCTTGTTCATCCAAATCATTCCTAATGACTCGTTCCCAAGTAAGTCTAGGCCTACCCCTTCCTTGTTTCTTCACTTCTATCCTTATACTCTCTAATTTTCTAACCGGAGGATATGACGCAAAATCGAAATGAGTGGAAAAGAAGAATTCATGCATCCAACCCCAAATAAACTTGGGATTAAGGCGATGTTGATGTTGTTCAACAAGAGCAAAATTATCAAGTTTGTTACTTCTACATTTGTTTTTCATGAAAATCCAAACACATGGCAATTTATATTCTAAAACCTAGAATATCCTTGTCATCATGGCGAGATTATCTATGCCAAGGATTAAGCTAAGACACTTACAATCTGGAAGCTTTTTTCAGGCAGAAGAAAACCTTACAAAACAAGTATGGTATACCTTCGCAGCAATGTTGCCCTGTACTGTTTGAGACTTCCCCCAGGAAGAATTAATTTAGTCATGATTCCTCGGAAACCTTCAGATCCAGCGTCATCTGAGAGCTTGTCTTCACATAACTTAGGGTCATCTAGGAACTTGTCTATCACATTGCCAACTAGGATATCGTCAGGTGGCTGTTGAAAATGTTTCCTTATTGCTCGCAAGACTCTCCGGAGTTTGACCAGTCCAGTTCTCTGAGACAAGAAAAGGATATGTTGGAGGTTCGCCAGAAGATCTTTAAAACATAGGACACAAGTATTTAACCCAGCTTGAGAGACATTCTTGAGTACTTAAATCTTGTTTGTCAAAAACTGAGACAAGTAAGGCAAGCTTCAGGACAGAAAATTTGATGTGTTGGACTTGGAATATGGAAATAGGACAAGAACTAAATTGCAAGAAGTTTATTGATACAAATTTTAGGCTGCTATGCAACGGAAAATTTCATTTGGAACAGGATCTTGTAAAGACAATTTAACCAGTACCAACTGCCCCAAACAAAACCCTTTTGTGACTACGCACAGATACATGCACCAAATACAAGATATCTAAAAGGAAGGACTCAAATCTATAGCATCCTATGCAGAATCCTAACCCCACATTACAAGTACTGGTAAGTAAGGAGAGCAAACTTACAGAAGAAGCCTTGGCATACGGCAGTACATATTGAAAAACATCAGCACATTGTTCCTTGGTTTGATAATCTCCACGACTACTGTTTTTGTGCACGGCAAGTTCGTCTTCGTATGAGGTATCAACTCTAAGATTCAGACCGTACAAGCAGAAAAAGCATTGATCTAAAGCATTATCAATTAACAACTCAAGTTCCTCCTTCTCTTCTTCCGAAAGTTCTTTCCCATTTTCTGGAATCTGTTTGCTTTCTTGTTCTAGCTGTTCTCCGTTCCTATCAATTTTCCCTTCAGAATCATCCTCCCTAATAGATGCAGCCTCGTCCTCTTCATTTTTCTCACTATCTATCTCCATCACCAGTGATTTTGATTCAGTTTCAGATAATTTGTCATGTAAGGCAGAATCATTTCCAAGCCCATCGGAAG